ACTATTGTTTTACTTATTACATATCTGCATAAGAATGATATGTTAATGAATACAAATGTTGCTAATCTACTTCACAACTGAATCTGAGAAATTTTCTTATGGGGAGGCCTAATCATGGAGAGATGCCAAGAATCACCAAAATGTCACCAAAAATCACCAAAAGAATCACCAAAATGCCAAAAATCTCCATTTTTGCTATAAAATGTCCACTGACCTGCTCTCCACTACAGAATGACATGTTTCCTTTCCTGCACTTTAAGTCCAAGACCTTCTTATCCTGTGCCTGTCTTCTATTCCGATACAAAATGCCTATTTCAAGCAGACTTAACATCTCAGAAGCAGGCAAGGCAATTAAAAAAAAATAACTGTAATTTCTCTCAATGAGAAGAGTCTTAGTGGAATGATTTAGCTTAGGTTTTGCTGAATCCAAACAAGAAAGAAATAATCAAAATGAAATCTTGGAATCAATAAAGTACTGAAAAAAATATCTCCAGGGTCAGTTTTAGAAAACTGAATCCAGAAGTACATACCTGATACAAAAGGTATAGCCAAGACAAAGAAAGACTGACAAGCTAATTTAAGTGGGAGAAATGGAAAATACCAAATGAGGTTAACTGGAAAGTTACCTAACCTTCCTGTAACAGACATAGAGAAAGCAGTATTAAGAAGATTTAAATGTCACCATTATCCATTGTTGGTCCATTGGCTTTGTAACGTTAAGTAAAATGAGTGCCCCACGAATTTCCAGAATACTATACTTGCTTCTAATACTTCCAATAATTGTTCTAGAACACTGATAGTTATGAAGTATATGGAATTACTCTGAAAACAAAAAGGACACATTAAAGATATAGGAATCATAATATAGATAAAATAGATCATAGTAGGAAATCAAAAACTAAAGAAAATATAAATAATGCTCTCTTTTTGTCTTGCATATATAGACATAGATTACAGAGTCCCTGCCAAGACTAGACCAAACTGAGACATTGCTCCCTACCACTTTTCCAGGCCAATCTTCCATGGTGTCATTAACAAGTTCACTTGCTTTTTATTTCAGATTATTTCTGTAAACTTGGAAGTGGATTCTACAGTCCCTTCCATCCTGCACAACTTCCTCAAAACTCTAAAAGGAAGTCAACTCTCAACTTTAGTAAGAACAGAAAATACATTTCAAACTACAAAAACAAATTCCAAAGTAACACTGATACAATAAAAGCTGTCTTAATCCACTGATTGAAATAAGTGAAGTTCTCCATATCTTAATTATGTCTGCAAAGGGTTAGAAAGCATAAAATAACCTGAAAAAATCAATAGGGTTGGTGTAAGGGTAGAAAGAAGGTTGGTAAAACCCTTGTACTGTGAATTCTACTTTAATGGACTTTTCTACTAACTAACATCTGATCCTGAGACCCTTTTTTTTCCTGACTATGAAACATTTTAGTGCAGAGGTAAGAGTGTAATGAGGAGTAGAATTTCAGCTACAGTTTTGTACTCCAGAAGAGCAGAACTCAATGGCCAGTAGGCTGTAAGGTTACCAGTTGTGCCCCATGTCACAATACCCAGTGCTAATTTAAAATACGCCATAATGCTGATTTATAGCCTAGATGTTGGTAATTTCCATAAATTATTTCTAAGAATTATATCATTGATACATATAATTGCTATGGTATGATTATGAGTTCCTAAAATGCCGAGTGGCTCCCATACTGTAAGAACAATCAAAGAATAAATTATACCCATTATTTATTAAAAAAGAAAAGTAAACAGCACTGGATAATTATGCTTTTCAATATTTAAAGAAAACTAAATTTTCAGGTGTGGATCAAGGCTGGAAATAAACATTTCTGGAAATCCATCAATTTTTCAGGTCACTACAAATCATCAATTAAATGAGTAAGAACTTAATTAAGGTAGCTTGAGAATTGTTCTAATGAAGCTATAGACTCAAAAAACCCTATTTCACATCAATAAAAATTCTATTCCACAGTCAATCTTGACTGCAACAAGCATAAGGTAAATACATTAACACTGGTTACTAGCAAGAAGGAGAGAAAGAAATTGATATTATAATCTATATCCACTACTCAATGTCATGTCAAAAGCTACTACTTCCCACCAATGGCAATTCAACAGCTGAGGGTTTACAATTTTAAAACACTATGTGAGAACTTTTAAATTATCTAATGTTTTTCTCATAACAATTTTGTAAGATAGATGCCACTCTTATTTTGTAGATAGGAAAATGAGGTTTAGAGAAATTAGATAATTTGCAAAATACTGTATTTCTATTATGCAGAAAAGCAAGGAATCAATTCAGGAAATTTACTTCTGAACTTGCCCTTACCCTGGGATCAGTTATGGGGAAAAAAAAAAACCAAACTGACTACCTAGAAGTGCAATCATAGCTTCAAAATTGTATTCTAGTTTGATGATTTTATATAGTAGAAGTATCTAATTCTGAAATCTTTATAAAAATGGTTCCTAAAGTTCTTTCTAAAAATATGTACTTAAAAGACAACTGGTCTAATCATTCAAGAGATCATATCATGGGAGAAAAGAGAGGAGAATGTTTTAGAATAAAAGAAATTAGAGATAAAAGAAGTAAATGTAATGCATGGTCTTTATCTGAGTACTGGTTAGAACAAAACAACTAAAAATACTTTCGGCAAAATTCAGGAAATTCACATATGGACTGAGTCTTAGGTTATCTGTGAATTACCAAAGTTGTTAGATGTTACGGTTGCTGTGTTATAAGAGAAAGGTTTTTTTGGAGTTAACTATTTAAAGAAATATTATAATGAAATATTTAGAGATTAGCTCTCATGAGTTCTATAATTTACCTGAAAATTATAGTAAATTACAGTAAAACAATCAATTTAGCATCTATAGCAAAAGGTTAAAAACTGAGAATTCTAAGGAAGAAGCGTATGGTTGTACATCTTACTACTGTCCTCACTTTCCTGTATATTTGAAGTTTTCTCAAAATAAAAAGTCAAAATTTCAAAACTGCTCACATGAAAGAAGTCAATGTTTATCTTTCAGCTCTGAAAGAATTGTTCTTTACCAGTATTTAGCATCTTGCTATTCTTTTTAATCCTCTGACCTTAGCTAAATCATACTTTTTGACAGAGGGAAAAGGGTGCTCCATTACATGAAACTGTCAGAGGGCACTCAGCTTACTTTGAGAAGCCAACAGGAAAATGTGTAAGAGCTGTTCCTGCTGGAAAGACCTGGGCCACAGCTGTCCAAGTCTTCTTAAGTGTCATTATTCAGTATCATAATTCTCATCAATCAAGTAAATTATTCACTGAGAAGCTCTTATTGTTACCATATTGATCAGGAAGAACTGATACACAAAGGACTGCTGTTAACCCCGCAAATTACAACTATCCTCTCTTTGTCTCTGAAATCAAATTCCTTGACAGAAGTGACCTTATCCCGAATCCAATAAATTTCCTATTTCCAAAAAAACTCAACTGAAGAGCTATAAAACCTGCAAATTCTCTCGTGCTTTCTCCTCCTTTGCTTCCAGTTACCATCCTAAAAGGATCAGCTGAAGGCCACCAATTGGATCGAACATCCTAAGAAGAAAGACTCACACCAGGCCAGGTATATGAATATTTTAGATATATCGGGGACTAACATATCAAGCAGCTTTCAGGTTATATACATATACTGACTAATGGCACCAGTTGCTGTAATAGTTATTCTCTTCTTGTGAACTGCTAAACTATGTGATAACAAACTCAACTCATATGTTATCAGAAGAAAATATAATCAGTGGAGAATATTTTTTAATCTTGAAAAGAAACTGACAGGATATTAGGAATCTGTTAATGTAACATTAACATTCCTTTCTCTAACTGGGCCAGATGGTTTTCTTCTTGGTATACTCGTACTATAGTAATTACCACCACTAAGTCTTTATCATGGACCATTGCGCCCAGGACAATCTGTAATATATATTATTCCAGTCAATCTTCAGTACGACCTTAAAATGCAGGTTTGCAACTCACTCAGAGTCACGTAGTAAGTGGCAGAGCTGCAATTTCAACCAAGTATGACTGACTGTGACACCAGTGTGATAAATGGTAGGGCTCTATTGTGAGATGTATCTGATCTGACAGCACACTACGTTGATGTGTGCACACAAATTTACTTGCCCTAACAGTACTCATTCTAAATAATGATTTTACCTTTGTTTTCTGAAATCAAACTGATATGTACATATGGTATACAGGATCAAAATAAGAAAAATAGAAGGCCATGTCCTTCCCTTACTCTCCCCTCCTACAGCCTAAAGCCAAGGATACAATTATTTTTGGAAGCATTTTAATTGATTAAATCTGCACTCTGTATGGACTGTGATGATATAAAAATGAGTAAAACATAATTCCACCCTTTAGAATTTAGAAAAAGGGCATAAAATAGCAAAATCTTCAGTGGAAGGAAGTTTGGGAAAGAGTCCCTTTGGTATGGTCCTTGGTCCCCAGTAACAGCCTTATAACACAGAGAGAAGGAACACTTTCCTTGCTTAAAAGAACATCAGAGAACATTTACAAATCATGAACATTTACTGCTCAGTAAATATCAGATAATTTGTAAAATGGTTCTTCAAACAGGGAAGTTTCTAGAATCAGAATTGAAATAAGAAGGAAAATATTTCTTTCTCCTAACTGTTAAACTTCCTAAGATCCTGCCCTTCCTAGGCAATCTTTAGTATCAGTGAAAAATGCCCATACTACAAACTAGTCATAACAGTAATTCTTGACTCTCCTCCATTGTTTTCTCTTAAAGAATGTGTTTTAGTTTGAAGTAATTTTGCCTTACCACTATGGAGTGAAAAATATACACATAATTATCAGAAACCACTGCCGTCTTTTAAACTGTACTTTCTAACAAAGCTAAGTCATTAATCAAAATGCATCCCATCTCTCACAATATCATAACTAACAGTGAGCAACTTTTCTGCTTTTCCCAAGAATCAACAGAAAAAGATGAAGACTCTGACACTGCTGGTGTGCATCTGTGCACTGAGTGCTTGCTTCTCAGTAAGTATCCACCCAAATAACTGTTATTCTTACATATCAATAACCTTTAGTATATATACTTGAGACTTGAAAAGTATGTGCAATTCCTATTTCCAAGACACTTAATATATTCTGTTTTCTGTGAAACATAAGAAAACATGCTAATTAAAGCACAAGGAAATGATTCATTTCATTCATTTTAATATTTCCACAGCACTAACTTTACCATGGGTGTGATGAGATAAGACAGAGATGCAAAAAATGAATCACATAAGGCCTCACTGGTGTAGAACATGGATTTCATTTTCAGTATATCCGGAAGCCTCAGGATGACTAGACCGTCCAGGGGGGAAGGACTTGACTCTGGGTCCTGGGGAGAAAACAAATTTCAGGTTACAAAAACTAAGAGAAACCAAGCAAGAAGCTAAGGCAGTGGTCCAGATAAAAGATGATGGTCTCTTGCACTAAATATCAGCAATTAAAACAAAGTATTAGGGTGGATTTAAGATGTAGTTTGGTGATTAAATCTACCATAACTTATGCTGCTTAGGTGTATAGTGAAAAAAGGAATGAACTTTAGAGTTCTGTTTTAGACAAGTTAAATGTGAAATGGCTCTTAGACTTCTACAACAAGATGTCAAGAGACAAGTGGATATACACTGTCTGAAGTTCAAAAAGATGTTTAAGAGTGAAGTTTACATTTTAAAGCTACTGAAGCCATGGAACCTTATAAGATCACCCAGAGAAAAAATGTAGGTAGTTTGGATATGGATAGGGAAAATGAAGGAAGCACAAAAGGGGACGGGAAAGTACAATTTCCAAAACCAGGGAAAGAATACAAAAATGGATACTACCTTTAAAATACTTAGGGTCTGGGACACCTGGGTGGCTCAGTCGTTAAGCATCTGCCTTCAGCTCAGGTCATGATCCCAGGGTCCTGGGACTGAGACCGGCATTGCACTTCCTGCTCAGTGGGGAGTTTGTTCTCTCTCTGCCGCTTTCCCTCCCTCTTCCCCTCTCCCACTCATGTGCTCTCTCTGTCTCAAATAAATAAATAAGATTTAAAAAAAAAAAAAAATTTAGGGTCTACTGGGGAGGTAAAATTAAAATTAGCAGTGACTCAAGAGGATACATGATGTAATAAAGAACCATATTTATTCTAAGGCTATATACCTGTATGTACTTGTTCACTTTTATTTTGACAAATTTGAAGAGAAGGTTAAGAAGTGACATGTAGATTTATTGAGACTGAATAGCCTCAGAATACTATGACTATAAAAAATAGAGAAGGCAGGAGAACTGCTAAAGTAGACAGAATTACTCTTGCGTAATCTCCTATTCCCCACTTACCACATAATATCCATACCCCCACCAATATATCTATATCTATATCTATATCTATATCTATATCTATATCTATATCTATATCTATATCTTGGGCTTTGCCCAGACCCTAGCACTGATTTCCATGATTAGAGCAAAAAGTGCACTCTAATGGTGCTCAGAAAATGTCGGCTTATGCTCATCATCTGAACATCCAGATGAATCTTGAACTATAATTTATCTATAGGGCCCCAATAGGGAAACAGTAGTAATGGTAAAATGCCTCACAAAGCTGCTGAAGTATAATAAGAACCATGTGTATTTATAAACTATAAAACTGAGTACAGATGTAAATATCATGACTATAAAATTGTTATATATTCTCCTAAATTGTTATAAATTTTATAATTGTTATAAATTGTTATAGTCATAAATATTCTCCTAAAATTGTTATAAATTCTCCTAAATTGTTATATATTCTCCTAAAATCTCCTAAAATTCCCCTGAAATTGTTATATATTCTCCTAAAATTTAATCTCCTCGGGATTCAGTTCTTTCATCTTTATAATGAGGATAATAATAGTACTGACCTTCTGGTGTTGCTAGGGAATTAAGAAAATTTATATTTGTAAACCACTTAAAATGGGGCCTGACACAAAGTAAGTGCACAAAAAAGTATAAGGACTTTTTTACAAAGTCCTTATACTTTACATTTTTTACAGATGTGAACAAGCAAATGAGGATATATTAAATATGCTCTTCCTGGCTTACCTATATTTATTATAACTACTTCCATCCTTCAATCTAAGCTCAAACTCTCAGAGGCATTTCCAACCCCACCCCCTCTCAAACTTCCCTAATCCCATTTCTAATCAAAAAGTTCTGTCACGGCTATCCATAACTGCCAATCATAATTATTAGTCAATATATTTTAAGTAAACTAGTCAAACTGGTCATTTAATACATGTTGTCTGCTAAGCTAACATTAAAGCTAAAAAGATTTTAATTAATTTGTCTTCATCAAGAGATCACAGATATATTTTGGTCATCTAAATTAGAAGAGCTGACACTTTTTCACATAACAAACACTTATAAATGTTAAGATTTTATTTGATGAGACATTTGGCTTTTTTATTATCAATTCTATGAATTTGTTCATTCAGTAAATATCTAGTGGGTGCCTATTATGAGCCAGACATAGTTCTAGGTATTGGGCATACAGAGATTAACAAAACAAAATCCCCACCCTCATGAAGCTAATCATCTGATTAAGGGAATGAACAGGAGTAACTATTGGAAATAGTTTGAAAGCAAAGAAGTCATAGAATTAGACTTCAGATCTCAATTTAGTTTAATTTGAATCACTTCAGAAATGAGTACACTGAGATCTAGTGAAATTAGGTGATTTGCCGAAAGTCGCTCAGTATTAATGCCAGACACAGGACAGATCCAAACCTCTCCTGATGGTCTGCGGCAGTGTGTTTCAAACATCCTCCTCTAAGATCTAGGAGTTCTTCACATCATCCTCAAATGCCACACAAAAAAGTAGACACTGAGCTGGTGGAATTCAAGGCCCCCAATCCTACTTCAATCAAAGCAATTATGTGATTATCTGAATCACACTTTGAATCTTGAGGAAAAATTTGCTTAACAGGGTGACCTACTTATTTTATATTAAAAAAATATTGCCTTATAATAGATGCTTCTGATCAGAGGAACATCCTGGGTTCAGAGTTGTAGACTCTGGAATTCTATGCCCATTTACAAGACAGCTATGCAAAAATACCGGTTATGTGGATCATAAGCCAATATTTTAATATATGAACATTCACAGTTATGAACTGAAATGTCCTGGATAATTTAATCTTTTTAAAGGATTAATGCTTTCCAAAGTTATTTTTAAGGCTGTGTATATTAGTCTCTGAGGAAGTTATCTTAGCTGGACAACTGCCAGTCTCTCAAAAGTTGTCACCTTTGCCTATGCCAAGCCTTATAGTGTGGGACTGGAATGATTTATCTATTAGGTGGTCTCAAAAGGGTCTCTATGGAAGTTATCAGAAGGTAAAAACCCACACTTGCTTGGAACTCTGAGTGTGCCCCCTTATCCTTATGTTATATTTCTTTTCTCTAATTTAAATTAACGTAACTGATCATTTAAAATTCAGTATGAGATGAAATGCAGGAAAAAAGAATATAGATAAATTGCAGTATGTTTAGAGATAAGATACTGAAACAGTTATGGTACTCTAAGTCAAATAATGTCAGGAAGTAAAAATGCTAATGTTGCAGAATATAAGACCCAAATGACATGGTAAATATTTTCAAATTTTGAATATCTCCAGGATCTTCTATGTGCTGCCAAAATACAAAATTTGGACCAAGAATGAATACCTAAAAAAACCAAATCTCAGTTCTGTTAAGAATGGACCCCCCCAGAAAAAAAATCCATTTAGTATCAAGAAGAACTATGAGGCAACCTGTGAGATAGGTAGAGAATACCTGATTAGTAGTTGTCAAGCATAGGCCGGAAAGCCATTCAGGTGTACTGGAAAAAAAAGATCAAGTATTTGTCGGGGAACTGGACTAAATCAGTGTTATTTTCAGATGTGAGTATCTTTGAGAAATCATGAAAGCTATAGGTCTTCTCCAGACAAAATGCATAAACATGCAATATTTACCTACAATATCATAGGATTAATTGATGCCTCAGTTTCTGTAATTATAATTTTTATAATGATACAATTAAAAGGTAGTGGCCAGGGTACCCGGCTGGCTCAGTTGGTAAAGCTTATGACTCTTGAACTTGGGGTCATGAGTTCAAGCCCCAAGTTGGGTATAGAGCCTACTTTAAATAAATAAACTAAGTATGAATAACCAAAGTTCTTTTTCCAATTTAAAAAAAGCTAAGAACTAAGTTTTCTTCAATGTGGAGGATATAAAGGTGAAGTGGGGTATTTGTTAAGTTGCTTGTTTAGGATTTTGTTGTTTTCTTTTTTTTGATGATGGCAGATGTGAAAGGTGTGATTCCGAAAAGACTCCTTGATCTCAGCTGAATGTCTTTGACAGAAGTTTCATGGGTACCCTTTTTGCTCAGTCCTCAGGCAGTAACCTGATCGTTTTCTACAGTGAAAGAAGAGAGAAACTATAAACACAAAAGGTAGATCTAGTTAATCCTCCAAGCTTGAACCCACAGGAATATATCCATTGTAGCTAGCTCAGAAATAAATGCTCTTGAGATTTGGCAAAATTAGAATAATGACTCAACCCACTGCAATCCAATTTCCATTCCCAAAACTCCACAAATACTGCCCATCCAACATTCCACAATAATCTCCTAGTTGATAAATCAATGAATGTTTTCAGTTCTTGCATTCTCTTTCTTTCCACAGCTCAGTGAAGGTCGAAAAAAGCCATGGAAGATATATCACAAAAAGAATAACGTCCAACAACTTACATTAGACCGCCAATTAGTACTGTATTCAAAATCCATCCAACCTAACTGGGATATATTAATTAAAAAGTATTTAATTTCTGGTCCATACAAATACCCAAAGCCTTCACGTCCAAATAGGAGAAAGCCAAAGCCAAAACGTCCCCCGCCATCTAAGTGTCCAGTGAAAAGTAGCAGTGCGGAGAGTAACTCCTCAGAGGCTACCACCTCAGCGGCTACCACCTCAGCAGCTACCACCTCAGCGGCTACCACCTCAGCGGCTACCACCTCAGCGGCTACCACCTCAGCAGCTACCACCTCAGCGGCTACCACCTCAGCGGCTACCACTCAAATCCCATCTTTCAATCCCACATCTCCAGGTGTGACTCCACTTATTGCTACAACCACATCTGCAGGACAAGTTAACATGAGCTCCTCTGCAGCTACCCCATCACCACAACCTTCCCCAGCTTTGTCAAACACCACAGCTGCCCCCCCTACGTCTTCCCTACCTACACCAGCACCAGAACCTTCCTCAACTCCACTGGGCACCACAGCTGCCCAAAATACCACACCTAATCCTTCCCCAACCAGTTCTGCACCTGAAACTTCCCAAACTACAGCTGCACCCATAATCGAAACTACCACTCCGGCCACTACTCAAAATACTACTGTTGAACAAACAACCTCACCTTCCCGCCAAAATCCAAATTCTCAATTCTGGCAATATATTTATGAGATACTAAAGTACATTTCTGGTGTTGCACCAAATGAATAGTACATGATACATTATGAAGTGTTCTGTTGTCAGATATGATTTATGAGTGCAGAACTACCACCTTTACTTTCACCACCAATCTCAAAGTGAAATTACAACATTCCTCAAATTTAAAGCACTATCACTAATCTTTGAATCTATTTACCTCACATGACTTATTAACGTGAAAAACAACCTCTATCCCACAAAACAGGTGCATAACCGTAATTTAAGATCACTTTGTGGAACCTACAGAGATAGCCCACTGAGGGGAGGGAAGATAATAGCTAAACAGAAAAATTATACGGATTAGGAACTATTTATTTTTCCCTAAATGTTGCAAACCTACACTACTCTGTACCTGAAGTGAGAACGCACCTGAATTGTCTAATCCCACAAATATAAAGGGATAAAATTAGGTCTCTCAAGTAAACAAAAACATGTAAACCTAGATAGACCTATCATCGTGTTATTAGAGACAAAAGTCCTTTAAACAATCATCTTAAATCTTGAAATCCAATTCTATTCCACAAAATGTGAACCGAGGAGGAGGAAAGTTGATGTGAAGTAAAGATCTGAAGTGAGCGAAAACAAAATCTGGCAGCCAAGCACAAATCAGGTCTCTGGCACTACATATCTGAGATCATAAAATTGTTTAGGCTTTGTGGTTGATATTTATTGTATTTGTAAGTTAATTTGGATCCAATGTACTTCATTCTAGCCTCTGTAAATCACAAGAAGACTTTTTGTGTATGTTCACATAGCTGTTGTCATATTTTAGTATGAATTCAATTAATCTTATCTTACTAATTCAATTAATTCACATTAATTCAATGTATTCAGCAGCAGAATATTTTCTAAAACTTTTAACCATCTATTTAAATGTTTTAAAGCAAACCAAACTACTGCCCTGATATCACATTTGCAAAATTGTCTCTGAAATTAAACCCTGATTCTAGTCAACAGAAGAATAAAAACTACCTACTAGGTATAGAGAGATAATGTTAATTTGGAATGTAGAGGTATTTTTACTTTGTGTTACTACTACTGAGAACTCTGATGATTTTATTCAGATTTTCTGTCAACTAATAAAGACTTCAAATGGCAATCTATTTTCATTGTGCGTATCTGGAAGACCCTTACCACTGAAGATTCCAAGAAGGGTGAAAATAAACATCTGCATTCTTGTCAACCCTGCCACTAATTAGCCAATGACCTGGGTAGGATACTCAATATCTCTGAACACTGGGGTTTTTTTTAATCTTTTAAACAAAGTGGTTGATTTACTTAGATTAACTTAATCTTTACTTAAGTCTTAACTTAAAAATACATTCCAATCCAAATGCTGTTTGCCTGATGCTTCCCAGACTGACAATAAAAGACCCCCATTTTTCTCACTTAATTTGTTCCTTCAGTCTCATCTCAGACTAGCTCTACTAATCTACATCTCAGAACTACCAGAAAGAGAAATTAAGAAAGCAATTCAATTTACAATTGCATCAGAAATAATAAAGTACCTAGGAACAAATTTAACAAGGAGGAAAAATAATGATACACTGAAAATTGTAAGACACTGATAAAAGAAACTGAAGGAGACACAAATAATTGAAAAGATAAGCCCTGCTCATGGGTTGGGAAAATTTATATTATTAAGATGTCTATCCTACCCAAAGCAATCTGCAGACTCAATGCAATCTTTGTCAAAATTCCAGTAGCATTTTTCATGGAAATAGAAAAAACAATCCTAAAATCTGTATGGAACCAAAAAAGACTCTGAAGATCCAACCAACCTTGAGAAAGAAAAACAAAGCTAGAGGCATCACACTTTCTGATTTCAAACTGTATTACAAAGTTATACTAATCAACACAACACAGTAGTGGCACAAAAACAGACACAAAAATCAACAAAACAAAAGAGAGAACCCAGAAATACACACACACATATATGGTCAATTAACTTAGGACAAAGGAGCCAAGAACATACAATAGGGAAAGGGTATTCTTTTCAATAAACAGCATTGGGAGAACTGGGTATCTATACGCAAAAGAATGAAACTGGAGCACTATCTTACCACATACACAAAAATCAACTAGGAATGGATTAAAGATGAACATAAGACCTGAGACCATAAAGCTCCTGGAAGAAAACAGGCTGTAAGCTCTCTGCCACTGCTCTTGGCAAGAATTTTTTTGGATTTGATATCAAAAGCAAAACTAAACAAACAAGTGATACTACATCAAATTAAAAAGCTGCAGAGGAAATGAAACCATCAACAAGTGAAAAGGTAACCTATGGCTGAGAGAAAATATTTACAAATCACATATCTGGTAAGGGGTTAATATCCAAAATACATAAAGAATTTATACAACTTAACAGAGAAAAAAACAATCTGATTTAAAAATGGGCAGAGGAACTGAAAAGACATTTTTCTGAAAAAGACATAAAAATGATCAATGGGGGCGCCTGGGTGGCTCAGTGGGTTAAAGCCTCTGCCTTCGGCTCAGGTCATGATCCCGGGGTCCTGGATGGAGCCCAAATCAGACTCTCTGCAAAGCAGGGAGCCTGCTTCCCTTCCTCTCTCTCTGCCTGCCTCTCTGCCTACTTGTGATCTCTGTCTGTCAAATAAATAAATAAAATCTTTTTAACAAAAAAATGATCAATGGGAACATAAAACTTGCTCAACACAACTGATCATGAGGAAATGCAAATCAAAACCACAAACGAGATATCACTTCACAACTGTGAATGGCTATCATCAAAAAGACAAAAAATAACAAGTGTTGGAGGAGGTATAAAGAAAAGGGAATTTTGTGTACTGTTAGAAGGAATGTAAATTGGTGCAGCCACTAGGAAAACAGTATGGAGGGTTCTCAAAAAATTTAAAACAGAGGAATGCCTGGATGGCCCAGTGGTTAAGTGTCAAATTCTTGATCTCAGCTCAGGTCTTGATCTTGGGATCATAAGTTCACGCCCACACTGGGCTCCACACCAAGCATAGAGACTGCTTTAAAAAAAAAAATTTAAAACAAAAATACCATATGATCCAGTAATTCCACTGCTAGATACTTATCCAAGGAAAACAAAATCACTCCCTTGGAAAATATCTGGTTAAATCTTACAGTAGTATTGTTTTCCCCACTGATTTTAGTAACTCTAATGTTTAGAATTTTTAAAACTTTGATGTTTCTCTGAAGTGTCTGTGTTGGGAGTCAATTATTACCATAAAACTTTTCAACATAAATTTGATGCTTCTCCTCATCTTAAAAGAGATATGGTTACTAGCCATTGATCAGAACAACAAAAAATTACCTAATGAGGCCCTTTGATTTTTGTCAGTATGGAAGAAATAAAATTTCCAAGGTCTGCATTCTTCCTGGGGAGAAGTTAGAGTATAAGCAGAGTTGGTTGTGTCTTAGGGGCCAGGGTGATATATATCCCATCCAAAGCAGCCCAGAGCCCGAAAAACTACAGGACTGAACACAAGCCACAGTCTTATATAGGAACACAAAGGTGTGCAGATAGGGAAACCAAGATCATTCAAAAGCACAAAGAACAGAAGCAAAGGGTCCAGACCTAGTAAAAAAAAAAAAAAAAAAGAATGAAATAGATCCAGAGACAAGCAAAGAATAGGGCTGAGGTGCTCTGAAAACTAGACTGACTCTTGTTTTTTTATGACCTTTTAGCATAAATGCATGAGTTGGTGCTGCGTAAAAAAATGGAAGAATTAAGACATATACACATGACCTATTTATTCCTATTCTATACAAATAGAATACTCTTCCCAGATGCTTTTAGTTTTACTAATAAAACAGATCCCAGAAACTTTTGCAGTCTGTTGTTGTCTAAGAAAATGAAGATGAAATAAGGAAGTAGATATTTACTATCTCAAAACATTTTGTGAGTTTGAGACAGTACAGTGTGTAGTCTTTAGTACTGAGCGTATCATCTCAGGTTCTAAACAGATTACAGCTCCCAAATTTTCATAAAATTTCCAATAACTTAGCCTGTTTTCATATTCAACAATTTCATTCCTTCCCCTCAACCTGTGTCCTCCCTGAGAGAATTCCAGCCAATTCCACAAGTGGCAGCCAGAGAAATACTCTCCTAGAACTTCAACCAACAGGTGAAAAATTCTATAAACTTCTTAAACAAAGGACCATCAGCAAAGAACAGTCCTTCTAAACTTAACCAAATTGTAGTATAAAACACACTTCCCAAATTAACCAGATCATATTATCGGTGAGAACAAGTGTCAAGTTCTTCTTAATCTTCTTAAGCTATTTCTCCACAGTGTAAAAAATTGTACTTCCCCTTGAAGAAGATTATTTTTAAATTAATATATTTATTTGAGAGAGAGAGCACAAGAGAGTGACAGAGAGAGCATGAGCAGGGAGAGGAGCAGAGGGAGAGAGAGAAGCAAGCCCCGACGTGGGGCTTGATCGCAGGAGTCGAAGAGTCGAAGGCAGATGCATAACTGACTGAGTCACCCAGGTGACCCTTGAGTAGACATTCTGCACCCTGTTTAAAAGCTGGTGTGACTAATGTTGTTGGAACTGCTGGCAGGAGAAGAGAGAAAAAGAAAGAATTATGCTTTGATAATAGGAAATTTTACTAGATATTTTTCAGAATACAATATGGCTGAAATGTGTATTACCTTATAGAAAATATTATTCCCAACGGGGGAATGGTCTCCACATCATGCTTCAAGATTATACTAGGTAAAAGACAAGGCTGGACCTCAAACCCTGTACTACCAGTGTACACAGTCTGGCCAAGCCTCCTGTCCCCCCCCACCACCATCTCTGCCTGTCACTCTGCCCCAGTAAGTACACTGTGTGTTGTCATGATCAGTTAAATGAGGTCCAAGTCCATCTGGATTTGTGTTGAGAATGAGGAATATTTCAGATCACACGTTAAAAGTACAATGCAGGATGCCTCGGTGGCTCAGTTGTTAAGTGTCTGCCTTTGGCTTAGGTCATGATCCCAGAGTCCTGGGATCAAGCCAGCATCAGGCTGCCTG